AATTTTCAAGGCTGTTAACTTTAACTTAACTTAGTTAAAAAAAATAGTTAACTTACCAACCCTGATATATATATATAGTTATATACAGTTATATTATTATAAAATCATTCTGCTGCTAGAACAAAGTTTATACAAAAACGCGTAATTGTGTTTATTATTTATACATATACTGTTACTTTATTCTGTTTAATGGTTTATTGGTTCCACATCGTTCTGTAAAAAGTAATTTTTACCATCGTAATTTTTATTTCAATTAAAAACCTGAAATGTGAAATAAACCACTTTACGAATAATAGAGTGTCGTTTAATTTCTTGATAGGTTTCTCTTGAACGAGAAACGGATTAAAAATGATTTCGAAATCCTGCACGGACTTTTAATCGGTAAAAGATATCCGTATTTTTAAATGTTATATTAAATGAAATTCGTCTTTATATATAACGATATACCTACTTTTTGTTTTATAATGATTTTAATATTTATACAAATGATAATGTTGAATGATCTTCAATATTATACAATACGTTCACTCTAACATATTTTCATAATCATTTAAAAAATTTCAAGTTAATATTTAATAAATTATATAAATACTCTAATAAGAACATTTAATTAATTATTTAGTAAATTACCTTTTAAAGTTTTATATTTTTAAAATCTCATCTGACCTAATAATCTGTATATTCTCATATTCTCACATATTTTCGGCTGCAGCGTTTCGATTCGATTCGATCGATCGATTAGCATTGAGAGTTCGCGGAAAAGGCCACGGTGGTTCGACGTATGATCCCATCAATTGGAATAGTTTTAATCAACTTAACGGGCCGGAATTTATAGAGCGTTCGCAGAAACGGGTCACCCGCGTTAGCCACGGCACTTTAATCGAATAAAAAGCCACCGCAATACCTAGAACGGATAACCGATGGAGTCTCTACCGCCTCTTCGTCTCGATTGCTCTAAATTACAATTCTGAATCATCCACGTGTCGAGATCGTTCACTCGGCTCCGCAAAAGTTTCAAAAGTTTCGCGATTTTTTCTTTCGTCTTTATTTTCGAAGCTCTATAAGGAATTTACGTAGTAAGTTTCAAAAGGTTCAAAATTTTACCTGTACACAGAAAAATACGTATCTCTTAGCAAATGATAATTACTTATTTCAAGTATTTCAAAAGATTATATATCGCGAATCTATTATAAGTTCATCACAAACATTAAATTTATTCAAAATGTATTCTAAATCCTAGCAAGTTCAATACTTTAAGATTATTAGATTAAAACAAATTCAATTTGCTTATTATATAACATATAAAGTCGCTTCTTCGATCAATTTTATAATATTTTTAAAAGAAAATTAAAAAATTATTTTGAATTTATATTAATGTACTCAATCTCTTATTTTAAATATATGTATATTAATGAGTTTTTCTAAAATTTGTAATAACTAATAAGTATATTTTAAGATTATTATCAAGAAAATATTTTTTATTACAAATAATCGTTGTTAAAAAAAAGAAAGTAAATTGAGTAATCAATAGAATGATATTTTTCTGTGTGAATACTAAGAAAAATGTTTTTGTTATACCAAAATACAAACAAAATGCATTCTAATCAAGTTTAATTATCGTAATTGAATTTCCGATTATCTCGACTAGAATGTTTAATAGATTTAATTATAAGGGTCTTATATAAGGGATTTATATTTTTATGGTACAAATTTGAATCTATTGAAATTCCAATTAATGCAATTAGATTTTTTTCTAGCGTACAGATATAAAAAATGATAAAATAAATTAAACTATCATTTTTATTTTTCGATACAATTACCCTTTTTTATCGTAATATATTTTTAAAACGCACACGATGAATTAGTTTTTCTGTACCACTAAAAAGTACTCTGAATTTTTGTCTCTAAAATACTTTAATCATTTGCTATACAAAAGAACGATTTTGCTCGAAAGATCTACAAATTTACCTGGTACAAATCTAAAAATAATTTTGTTAGACCATCAAAATAGTTATGTATAAAAACAGAATGAGCAATAGCTGCAAGATATTTTGATATTCTAGCAACCAGCTTGACCGTACTACATAATTATTTTAGTACTTTAGCAAAATTATTTTCAGAGATCAGTATCTAATTTTTTAGATATTTCAGCAAAACCATCTTTTCCATATTGGTACGATCCCGATTTCCCTCTAGTGAATATTCTCAAAATTGAAGTCCTATTTGCATGGAAAAAATATACCATGATGAAGAAATGATCTCCGAAAACCATGTTAAGATAAAAAATTCAAAATATTTTTTAGTATAAAAATTAATTTATTATTCTAAAGAATTATTGAAAAGGATAATTATATTGAAATTATTTTGAAGAATTAAAATTGTTGTTTCATTTTATCACCTTTTTTAAATATTTGACCGGAAATTCTACTGGACTTTACTACGTGACTCGGTGACGCGGAATTATACGGGATGCGTCCCGAATTCAACGGGTTCGATCCGGCGATCCACAGAATGCGACTCGCCTCGTCTCGCCTCACTTCAACGCTATCGATTGTACCACTGGATATTGCGGACACGCGATTTATTCGGTAAAACGCATCTAGCAAATTGCGGAGAAAGCAACACCGGTCGATGTGCACGATCCTCATAAATGTCATCGCGAGCGCGTAAACATCGGACACGAGTGTGTCCCGATCCCGCTGAATATCGGCCAGTGAAGGGAAGGTGATGGCGAAACGAGCGGCTAAAGGGTGAAAGGTCGCCGAGTTTTCGGTCGACTCACCCTTTGCAAATTGGACAGATCGGCACAAATTGAGCGGGAATCGAATTTTAATTAATAAACGATGCACATACACGCTGGAATCTGCTTTCAGACCCAAATTGGGAGAAAAAAATGACGTCGGACTCGTTGTTCCGCGGGAAAATGATGACGGTGAGCAGTGAAAGTCAATATTTTTGAATATCGATGGACTGCATACGTATCTCATAGCTATCGTTACATACAGAGGTCTGTCGAAAAAAATGCGGAAGATTTATCTACGCTGAACTCGTCGTTTCTCTCTCTCTCTCTCTCTCTCTCTCTCTCTCTCTCTCTCTCTCTCTCGGCATTAACGTGAGATGTTTTGAACGTGGAATTTTTGTACCGTAACGCCGTATGGTCTCGTGAGTTGTGGAACGATGTTTGGGAGATGTTTCCCAACTTTTCGCGTTTTCACGAATTCGCGGCAACTCGAAAAATCGTAGGTATCTCGTGAAAACTGGAGTATTTTGTGAAAGTTTGGACAATCTCTCTCTCTCTGTGTGTTTCTTTTATTATACGCGAACGTTCCGTAAAAATGAAATCTCATACTTGCACGTAACAGTATCCAGGATTATCTATTAATTATCCAACAAATCTAATTAATTCTCTTTCTGTCTCTCTCTCTCTTATGTTATGTTAACATAATATGAATTAAAAAGAGAGAAAGATGTTTAAGTCTTTTGCTGTCGTTCTTATCTGTATTATCTTTCTATTTTTATTTTTATTATCTTTATTATTTTTTCTGAATTCGGTTCTTAATATTCTATATATTTTCGATTGTTAATTATGTTTGTTTTCAGTGCTTAAGAAGATACAATTCTAGAGTGCTTAATGAATAATAGTCTCTCTTTTTCTCTCTTTCTCTCTTTATCTCATTCTTAATGCACCTCCTGTACATATAATACATTTATATCTTTATCTTGTTCATTTATACATTCTTATTTTCTATAGCTTTTCTTCTTATTCTTATTTTATGTTATTTTATTCATATTCTGTTTGATATCTTAATTTTGCAAATCCCTTTTTTTCTTATTTTACATATATTTTGTTCATATTTTTCTTGTCTTTCCATTTTTACCGCTATAATTTGTATTCTGCAATTCTTAGCTCGTTTTTATAATTATGTTTGTTCTTAGAGGACTTGTCCTCTAAGGACACTACTAAACTCTTTATATATATATCTCTCCCCTCCTCTCTCTCTCTCTCTCTCTCTCTCTGTCGTTTTTCATGAAACATGCCTATGATTTCCATCAGGCACCGTGCTTCTCGCTTCGTTCACTCGCTCATTCCGAAATGCCGAATTTATTTGTTTACCGCATTCATGTTTCGTCTTTGTTGCGCCGCGGGCGAGGCTGGCGGACGAATGAATGAAATTACGCGGTGAGAATTAATTGTGCGGGTAAGTCGTTGCCGGGCCGGCCGTGCTCGTAAATTAGCATGGCGAAATGTTTCGTGCGTTAAACGATTGTATAACCGGCGGGTGGACGGCGGTGAACCTCGCACTCTTTCGCGGCTTTCGTCGCACCGCGAACCATCCAATGAAATGCGAACCTTTGTTTTTTTTTATTCTGCGCTGCAGGGAGAGGGTTGTTCATCCGTGTGACAACCGGTCGAAAAAAAAAAACGAGCGCTGCGCGACATGGAACATACGCGCTTCAATGCATTTCGGATTGTGAAACGCGAATGGGGAAAAAAGCGCAATAATCGTTAATTTTCGTTAAAGTTTCGTTCCTCGTGATGGTTTTATTCTTATTGTTAAATATCTTGGCAATTAAATTCTAAAAGAAATTTTTGAGTTTGATTAAGATTAATTGAAAATCAAGGGCTGGATGTAACGATTTCCTTTGATGCGAAAATACTCTTTCAGTTTAAAATTTTTAACAAAAATAACAGTCCAAACTCTCGATATTAAAGTTTTTAAAGTTTTCTGAGTCCGAAGAGACCCGAAGTTTTTAAACAATTGATCAGCATTAAGATTAATGGGATACAAAATAAACGTATCAAAATTTCCTTTCAAATTTCTTATGCATTGCAGATATCTCTTTTATTTTTTCTTAAAGAATTTTTCTTTTTTAAAGAATTAAAAATTATTTTTCTTTAAGAAATTCTCTTTTAGAGATAATATCTTGTTTTCTTTCAAGTCCATGCAGTTATTAAATTCCATTATTAATATTGTATTTATCCTCATTTCTGTTTGCAGGGAGAACGATCAAATAATCGGTTCCTACTTGGAAATCGAGGACGTCACTCTTGAGGATTACGGCGAGTACAAATGCGAAGTCAGCAACGGCGTCGACGAGGAGATCACATTGGCTGCTCACGTATACCGGCAAGGTCCGAAAAACCATCCAAAATCTCTCATCAGCTCATTCCTATCATTGCAAAATGATCCCTACGACTTTGAGTGAAAACAGAATAGAATAATCTTACATTAATTTGTTTTATTTCAACATTAATTCAATATTTTATTTTTTGTGTTACGCAAACGTATCATGGAACATTAATTTTTGGAGTTTTTAATCCAGCAGTCACTGTTTTATTTTTGAATTTAATTCTATATCGAAATCCCGAAAGCTTTTTATATGAATCAGATTTGAAATATACCGGATTAAATAATTCAGCTTGTTATGTACCGGCTGCAATTGTTAATTATGGCTTGACGCAAATTCAATCAATTTGAATGCTTTATTGTTCGCGTATAAAAACAGGCTTGCATCAGATTCATTTTAATAATTAATGGAAATGTCCGGAAAACATATCGACATCTAGCAAACCACGCATGCCGGCGATACACTTAATTTATCGGTTTTAATTATTATGCAACAAATTAGTTTTGTGGACAAATTGTTACATCACCAAGAGGTATTACACGCTTCTTACGCAGTTTTCGAATACTACCAATGTAACAATTAAATGCAAGCGCAGTGTCAGCAACATTAATAGTAATTTACGTTATTATGTTAAATTGTGTGCTCTCTTAACAAAATATATGACGATTTTTAAATCACAAAAATGCAAAAAATTTCAAAATATTGAAAACTTGAGGGAAAGTCATAAAATTTTATCTGAAAATAAAAATCTTGTTTTTAAATTGGACTCAGATTTAATTTTTTTTTTTATCATAAAGTTTAATATCACATACATTTATACTCGATTATTGCTATAATATTATATTACGATAAAAAGAAAGCAGTATCTCTTTTATCTTTGCGCGATAATCTTTATTTGTATTTTTTTTTATCAAAGTTAAAACATTTTGGAATTAAACTCCTTTATTAGGATTTATTTAATCAAACGTTTCCGATGTTTACAAAAACAGTTTTTATTTTAATTTGAATATACATATATATTTATTTTTTTATTAATTTTAAACTGTCCTTTTATATCAAAATTTATTGATAATTATACAAATTACGGAACACTACTCCGATATCCGTGACATATGTTGTCAAGATCATAATCTTGAGTAACTTTATCTTAACAACTAGATATCTGTCTCTACAGGATTAATATAAATTCCTCAAATTCCATAACTTTTCCCTGATTTTCATGATTTTCCCTCAAGCTTTCAATATTTTGAAATTTTTTGCATTTTCGTGATTTAAAAATCGTCATATATTTTATTAGGAGAGCAATTTAACATAATAATGTAAATTACTATTAATGTTGCTGACACTGCGCTTGCATTTAATTGTTACATTGGTAGTATTCCAAAACTGCGTAAGATGCGTGTAATACCTATTAAACTTCTTTAAAGCTAAGAATTTTAATTTTCCAGAAAATTCTGCAAAATTCTCTGACTTTTTCCTGATTTCCCTAACCATTTTCAATTTTCCTGATATTTCCCTAATTTCTAGCTTTGTAGCAACTTTGTCATAATTTCTGAGATATTTAAAATTAATATATATTTTTAATAGTAAATTATCATCTTAGAGGACAAACTCCGATGATCTCGATCTTAATACGTATCATCAAGGTTATCATCTGCAATGATTGACCTTCAGATGATTTTAGTTTCATTATTTATTCAAATGTTATTACTAAAATAAGTTTCATTACATTTAAAAAGTAATCAGACTAAGTTGTAAATCCATATGAATTACTTCGCGTTGTAAAGTGTATGCGTGGACGCAGTGAATCCCGTTCTCCCTACGGGGGCAGTTCCGCTACCAAAACACTAAACACATAGGTTTAGGTTGAACCTCGCCTCGCAAGTAGAAAGTTGTAAATCCATGTGGAGTTTCACTTCGTGTGGGTTTACAATTTTCCACGCGAGGTTCAACCCACACCTATGTGTCTAGTAGTCTAGTAAATTGGTAATGTAGCCCCCTCTCGTGGAGGAAGACGGAACCCACTGCGTCTATGCATACACTTTATTGGTGATACATAAATAACGTCAATTTTACATTAGAGTTTTATGTTTATGTTGTTATCATTTTATAATAACGTTTTTCTAATGATACATTGTAGGTTTAATCTATAAAGCGAAGTATCCAAAGAGGATAACTAGATGAAGAACTAATAGATTGCTTTCTTAGAAGTCCCGAAATCGTGATAAAACTCGAACTTTTTGGGCCTGTTTTTAGTGATACAAAAAACTTACATTTTTAATAAGTTTTGTATTATAAATTTTTTACATTTTATATGTAGTAATAATGATTAAATGTGGAGAACTGTGTTCATTTGTTTCTCTTCCTGAAATAAATTCATAAATTTCGTCTCTCATTTAGGGGGATCCTAAAGTCGTCTGTATTACCGACTAAATCGTAATTTTTGTATAACAATTACTTTTTTCCTCATTTACAGATTCGAAAATCCTTTTCCAATTAAAGTATACGCATTAATACGTGTTTGTGAGGTGGAGTTTATGCCGAGAACGACCAAAAATTTCGAAATTGATATATTTTTTACCATTTCTTAATGTAACATGGCGTCTCAAGCTGTCAAGTCGTGACAACATTTGTTTGATACGAAAGTTTTGCAACCTCTACTTACGAAATAGTGATCCACAAACACGTAGTTTGCACGAACAAATAACGTCGAATTCTTAGAATTAGTCTTAGACGCTTTACCGTGACGAATTTGTTATACGAAAATTGACACGAATGTGCGACTGAATGTATCGTAGGTTGCGTGAGATATTAGTATGGTAGTATATAAAGACATGTCAGTGCGCTAAAAAAAACAGCGACATCTAGTGACTTTGTCGGAGCTTCGCTTTAGGATCCTCTTAAGTATAAAAACTTCAAATTATCTCTTTTTCGAATCATGTCACCTTCTTTTTATTTTTATACACAGTCGTATGTTTTTATTACTTTGTTTTTTATACAACATCTCGAGATTTCTTTTTTTTATTCACAGAACCACAGTTCGTATTGAGCCTTCCGAATGGGTCTTGGCGGAAGTCTCTCCTGCTGGCAGTCCTCGTCCTCGTGCTGTTACTATCAGCTGGCGCATTTTACGCGCGTTGCTGGCTGCCACTTGCACTGTTTTGCAGAGACAAGTTCGGTCGCCTCGAGGAAAGCGGTGAGTTCACAAATCATAAATAACTTCCTCCGCCACTCAACGATTGCAGTAAGAAACCCTCGAGCTGCGGATATCTTAGAATTCCGTGGAAATTTGGAGATCGAAGCTTGAAGATCTGTAAATCCCAGAACTCCACTCGTACTTCCCAAGAGTTTAAAGATTCCATAAAGTCAAGGACGTTGGCGTTCAACTTCTCAGACTCGGGCTTGATCTTTCTTAACCTCACGAGAATTCTCATTTTATTCTCGTGAGTACTCTAAAATGCGAAAGCGTTTTAAGTACGATTTAAAAATTACGATTTAAAAATAAAAATACATTTTCACGGAACAGAGAAATTCACCGCCTCGAAATTCCCGAAAATCTTCCCGGAAGCGCCAAGGACTAGAATTTAATTTTCTCCGTCTAAGACTTTACGTTCCGTAGACTTACGTTCCCAGCCTTCCTTAATTCAGAGGCCGTTAAAACGAAATCTCGTTGTCTAAAGACAAGGATACGGCTTGACATAAAATTCGAAGTCGCATGGATCGCCAGGATTTTTCCCTAATCCCAAGACTAAAAGGGGATCCTGATGGGCCAAAGATCCTCACTTCATCCTCTTTATCCTTTTCGCCGCTGGTCTGTCTTTTTTTGCGACTACAAATTCGCCACGGCATGGAGGGAGAGGGGGAGGGAGAGGGTGCTGTCTAGGTAATTATCAGCGACGCTTTTTCGTCCACTTAATTGCAACTCTTAATTACCGTGAAAAGTACCGCCAGACTCCGGCAAGGAAATTAAAGTGGCTGTTCCTTGATCTCTTTTTTTCGTATTTTCTGCCTCCCCTCCTCACGCCGATCGCCATCTTAATCCTTCCGGCTTTCTTTTCTTCTCTTTCCCGTTCCCGTCTCGTCGTTACCTCAATTTGTTTAAATAATATGCTGATAGCAGCGCGAGCCCCGTGGGAATCCACTCCTAGGCGTTCGCGTTTCAAGATCCCTGTAGGTTTCATCCCCTTGTTTCCCCAACTGCATCGTCCCGGAGTCTTATGTATTGCAAATTGAAAGAGGTGAGTTTTTTATGGAATTGCTTATCTTAAAAGTGCACGAGACCCGGGAGGATAATCTTGTAGGTGAGAAAACGCAATGACCTTTGTTTCGCAGCTGTGTAATTTCAGCGTGCCGTCTCTATGGTACCCACACAAACAGAATGAGAATAAGAAATGAAATCATAATAACGAATTCATAAAAATTCGTCTAAAGACAAAAGTAGGAGAAAATTGAAAATCCTGATTCTGGAAAATCGAATTACAGTTGTTGGTTTTTCCCGTTGATAATCTTAAGGTCGTATAAGAATTTTAGATTTCATGGAGTTACGAAGTCGTGATTCTGAAGCACTCTGATTTTTTTCAAAGCAGCCAATGAGAATTCCACGAGACAGGAATCCGGGATCAAGGATTTTCCAAGAAAAATCTTTCGAAAGTAAAAAATTCCGCCGAATTCTAATCCTTTTAAAAGCAAGGAAGAGAACAGGGAGAAGATAGGAGGAAAAGGAAAATTTCCACAGGCACAAAAGACGACGGCGATGTCGTTTTATTCCTGCAAGGACATTCTCCAGCAGAAGAGCTCGCGTAAATAGGAGCCTCGATCTAGTTGAGGCTTAATGAGCTGCGTCCTCCCTTCTTTCTCTCCTTTTTTTTGCCCCGTTCTTCCTTCCTTCTCCTTTTTGCTCACCTAACCGATCACACTTTAATTCTTCCCGCCCTTTCGCAATTTACTTAAGTAACGCTAATTCCGCCGGGGGCAGGAACTTTCAAAGGATTTTACGCGGTCTCTTCTCTCTCTCGGTGCCGCCGTTACCAGGGCACTTCAATATTTCAGACACGCTGTAATATGAACGGTAAAACGATGTAACTCGTTACACCGAGGTTCTCTCTTTGCATATTACGTTTAACAATTATGGTGGGATTATTACTACCGTTTAACCGTGCCTCACGATTAAAAATGACGGAGGTAGAGAATTAGTTCCTGTCTTTTAAGATTGAAAACCGTAGGAATAAACACGTGAAAATGTATTTATTCACTGAAGAAACATATAATAAAACTCGTTTAAATTCTGCATTATGATAAAGTATTACATAACTATGTTGTCAAATATCATTCAAAATTTATGGGGAAAAGATATTTAATAGTTTTCAGAATTCCAGTAGAAAAATTGAATGTCACAAGAGACTTCTTTCTTTGTGTATTAGTTTAATAATTATGATGGGATTATTACTGGTATTTAATCATACTTTAAAAATAATGAGGTAGATAAGATTTAATTCCTGTCTTTCCAGAATGAAAGCAATAAGAATAAATACGCATAATACAGGAAGAACAGTTTGACTGAAGTATCTAAAAATTTAGCTAGATGTGAAATCTGAAAATTATTTTATTGAATCATCGAAATAATTATGAAGGACGCTATAATATTTGGTTGCTAAAATATTACAACTTTTTGTAATGTTACTCATTGTGCTTGAATTTTTCACATAATTATTTTGATGGTCCAATAAAATTATTTTAAGATCTGTATTTACCTAAATTTTTCGATACTTTTGCAAAATCGTTCTTTCCATGCAGAAACGTATTTGCAAAATCGTTCTTTCCATGCAGAAACGTATTTATTCGTGGAGGGAACGTCTACAGTGCGTCAAAATTCTGCACCAGTTATGATAAAATGTCATATTAACCATTTACCATTCTAAATTTCTAGAAAAAAATTTTTAACACAGTTTTCAGAATTCCGAGGTACACACACCTGTGGAAAAATCGAGAAGTCTCGCAAGAGACTCCTGTCTTTGCATATTAGTTTAACAATTACGATAGAATTATTACTGACATTTAATCATGCTTTAATTAAAAATAATGAAGTAGAAGAGATTCAATCCCTGTTTTTTCAGCGTGAAAATAGTAGGAAGAAACGTGTATTTAATCACGGAGAGAATATGTAGTGCGTCCAAATTCTGCACTAGTTATGATAAAATATTTTTTACACAGTTTTCAGAACTCTGGGCTATATATATATATTATATATTTGTGAAAAAATCGAATCCCGCAAGGATTTTCCTCTTTTGATATTAGTTTAACAATTACGATAGAATTATTATTGACTGAGGGAGTCAATTATTGACGGAGGGAACCACTAGCTGAATTTAAATATTATCCCACAGATTACATGATTTCATATGATTTTATCTGATTACAAATAATTTTTTTCATTGCATATGAAATTATTTGATAAAATATATGATTTTATTTAATATTATACAATGATTTCTCGTGGTTGCGTAATTATCGGATTATACATAGAGATTTCATATGAATTTTATAATGATTTCGAGGACTCTGGTCTATGATTACATTAAGTGGTTACCCCCTCGTTATTGACCTTAATCGTGCTTCACGATTAAAAATAATGAGATAAAAAATATTCAGACTTGTCCTTTTAGTTAAAAAAAAAAAAAAAACAAAAATATAAATACGTAAAACTATATTTATTCACGGAGGAATAGACTTTAAAGCGCTATTCTACGGTTACGATAAAATGCCATATTAACTACATTGCTATAGATATTGTAAATTCGTGTGGAAAAGATTATTTTATAGTTTAGAATCTCCAACTATCTTTGGAAAAGTCAAAGTTTCACGAAATCTTATCTCGTTTTTTTTTTTTTTATAAATTTACAAATTTGTTGAGCTTTTCTCGTACAAAGTTCTCATCCTGCTCGAATTTTCTTCAGTTTCCACTCTCTAGAATTTCAAATAAACGTCAGAGGATAGAGGCGACTAAAAAACATGTCGTTCCGACCTAAATCTTCGAGACAGTTTCTTCCCTTCGACATCGTTTATCCTCACGCGCCGACGAAGAGAGCAGCGTCGCCGAGCTGCAGCGTCGCGTCGGGCCCAATTACGGCCAGGCCGGCAATTTGCGGCATTAGCCATGCAACGAGATATCATTAGCCGGCCGGCTGCTCCGCGGTCGGTCCGACATAGATGATACCGTCGTGCCGAGGATCTCGCCGGCCAAGCCGGAGAAAACGAGCACGCCGTCGCGGATCGCGCTAATGGCGACGGGCGACGTCTCGCGCGCTGCGCGTTCTGAGAATCCGCCGGTAATCGTTGTAATTTTCTCTCTCCGCGTCCCCGTATAAGGCGGCGATGTCGTGGGACATTTGTCCGTTCGTGAGAAATCGAGCACAACAACGCGACGTTTCCGTCGTCTGGGATACTTTCACGAGAGCGAAAGAGAGAGACCCGCTGTGGGCCTCTTCGATTTGGTTGGTTTACCGACTGTAAGAAAAGTATGTACAATTACATGGACAAGTGCAAAAATCACGCGATTTAGAACGGAAATGTTATATATGTATACAAAAAGAACGATTTTGCTGAAGTGTCTAAAAATTTAGCTGGATGCTGACCTGAAAATAATTTTATTGGACTATCAAAATAATTATGTAGGACGCTCAAGCTGGTTATTAGAATGTCCAAACTTTTTGCAGCATTGTTCATCATGAATTTTCTATATAATTATTTTGATAGTCCAATAAAGTTATTTTCAGATCTGTATCCAGCGAAATTTTAGATACTTCAGCAACATTCTGTGTATGTTTCCATAAAAGATTGTACGACTTATTTAATTGTCGATTTTTATAAATGTCTTGAATAATTCAAAAAAGCAACCTATTAAAGCAACCTATTTTAAAGCAATTAAAATAATAATAGCAATAAATAATAATTATAAATGCCTCCTTTGCGATAAATTGTCTCGAAGAGATTTATTTTAATATTAAAGAAATAAGTGAGAAAGAAGCGATACAATTCTATATGAGGGAAAGAAACTAGAAGTGGCCTTGAAATTGTAAAAAAATACACCATAATCAATATGGATGTCTGTATCGAATTATTTATGGAAAAAACTGAAAAAATTGATCCGCTTGTGGTATGCATATTTGAGGGCGAATCTTTTTTTTTATCTGTTAAATATTTGTTGCGTTTTAAATTTAGATTTTCAAGCTGCACTTCATGAGTTGCTCGAAAAACTTGATTATCTCGCGATAAAAAAAATCTACGCATTATTGTTGGATATCAAAAAATCCCGCTAATTTCCTAAACGTGCAAATTTCTCCATCATTAATTACGAAAATTAACTTTACGTTAATTTTCTTTAACTTTAAAAAAATTTTTTTTAAATTATTTATTTGTAACAATTATTTATTTCTAAAGAAAAAAATTTTTTTATTATATTTCCAAAGTACTCTTAATGCCATTCAATTTTCACATTCTGAAAATTATTTTCCATCTCTTACAATTCCGGCGATATTCGCTTCGAAAGAGAAAAATCAATTTTTTTCCAAGAGATGTTTCACCCCTTAAAAATGCGTATGGGCACGTATAAAAAAATACGCGTCGTTTATTTTTGTCTGGAGAATAACATACTAAAAGCTCATTAAAATCGGAGGGGGACAGTTGAGTCCCTTTCCTTGTTAGCTAAATTTTGTTAGTGCGACATATTTAGCAATTATTTAAACGATCTCGATATCGATCGAGATTTTACAATTGTCGTCGTGGCTTTTACGCGTCCACTATTTCGCTTAAAGACCTCTATATTCCGCGAACGTGCGATCCGATAAATAAACGTCAAAATTACGGTAAAACTAAAGGGCGACATCGTAACCGATTTCCTTAACCGCCGTCGCGGCCATCATATAAGCGACGTAGCCATTATGGCACACATTATTTACCTCTATAGGACATTTTGCGCGCATAATGGCGCACGGGCGATAACGATTTAATCTATTTCTCGAGTGAACGGTTACGCGCGGCTCCAGACTACGCGAGAATAAATTTCGAGTAAACGGAAGCGATAATGCGCGAATTATTACGCCCTCCTTCGACCCCCTGTCTCTCCCTCCTCATCATCCTGTTCTACTTAAACTCGTTCTCGGATCGCACAGCTCGCGGAGGTGCGCCAAATTTCTGTTTTATATTCATAAGAGACGCAAATCTTCCCCCCCTCGGGAAGTTCAGTTCGCGTTCCTTATCGAAAAGCTATTTAATCTGTCCCGAAGTTTGTCCGATCCGCGCTAAAACCCATCGTGGATCTGTCTTTCTGAAATTGTCCCATCGGATTTGGAAGATTCGATGATCGATCGAGGATCAGACATCGATCTAGAGATTTCAATATTTGTCGCACATATCTTGTGTTTTCCGAGAAGTTTGTTAACTCAACCCTCAAACCTGTGAAAGAACTCAAACAGCAGGGAATTCTTATGAAGTATCTTCTTATGAAACTGCACTGAAAAAAAGTCTAGTTATAACTACCAAATATTAAGCGAAATAGTTTCAACTAAGTGTTAATAGATAAACATAAGTATTACCTCGTGATTCAATATAAGGTAATTAAATGTTACTGTTACTTTCCTGGTGCTTTCCAACAAGCGACATGGTGTGACACAGTGATCATGTCATCTTTGTTTAACGTTAGCAAACAAGGATGTAATGATTCACTGGGTTACACTGCGTCATCTGTGTCTCTTGCTGGAAAGCACCGTTTGATGATACCAAATATTTGTAAAGGTAAAGTTATGTTTATATTACCTCAACATTTAGTTTAAACTACTCCACTCAATATTTGGTAGCTGTAATAAATTTCCAAATCTGCCCTATAAGCACAAAGTATTCCCAGAATGTTATATTATGAATATTATTTACTCTTTTTAATATTTATATAACATATATATTATATATATTCTAAAAATATTGTGTTTTATATATCTACATTTCTAATAAGTTACAAGTTAATTTTCTACATGCCAAATATAGTAGTAAATAATATTTAAAACGAAAAAATGTGTCCATTTCCTGAAATAAATTCGCACATTTTACTTTCAGTTTAATCATACAACCTTCTCTGTCCTCTTCCTTTAAGATCCTATAAAAATTATCTAGAAGAATTAGAGAAAAGGTAAACTGAGAGATACTGCAAACCATTCTTTCATCTGTCCAAGAGCTGAATTAACTGTTACAACCCTGTTTGCTTCTCGTTTGGTTGGTCCGTTTGGTTCAGCTTGGCCCAGTTGACAGAGCGAAGAAACACGAGTAATCACGAAACCACATGACTATGCATTGCAGACGGGAAGGAATGCGACGCCCTGGTGTGCTACCACGAGAAGGATTCGAGCCTGGTGATCGGTATCGTGATACCCACGCTGGAGTCTAGGCATCGGTACAAGTGCGCGGCGCTGGAGTTGTCTCAGCTGAATCACAATTGTAAGTACTCACGGCCACTACTAGCGTTAATTAGCGGCGGCGACGACCCCTGTCTCTCGTTGGATAATTACGTAGTCACAGCGACAGCTACGGTATACCCGCGGAATACGAGAGTGCCACTTCGGATGGTACCCCCTCAATCCCTCGAGTGATTCCTCAATTTTTTCCTCAACTATATTCGTGGCATTTTCAAGGATATTAGGAAAAAGGTTTCAGGAAAGGACGGTTTTTCTAGAGTATCTAAAAATCAACTAAATAACAAAAGGCTCAATTAATTTAAAAAATAAATAACACAAAGATAGGGCTACGAGCCAAAGCAAGGTCTTTAAGGCTACATTACAATAATAAACAATATAGATAATTCATATAAATAATTTATATTTGTTTTTTATTGTAATTTATTTTAATTTCTAAAAATTTAGCTAAATACAAATTTGAAAATAATTTTGTCGGGCCATCAACATAATTATCTAGGACACTCAAACTTATGATTAGAACGTCGAAACTTTTTGTAGTACCTACCTATTGCTCATGCTTAAGATTCCTATAATTATTTTGATGGTGTGTAACAAATTTTTAGATCTCTATTTAGTTAATTTTTTAGATACTTCAGTAAAATCATTCTTTCTGTGCGTTTCTTTAAATTATTTTATATATTTCGGAGAAGTCATCTCACTTCTAGAACCGCAGTAAAAAATCGTTCACGCAAAGTTCCGAATCTTTTTCGAATTTTCTTCGTGAACGTCGCAAAAAAAAAAAGAGAAAACGCTAGAGATAGAGGAAGAAAGGAAGAAAAAGAGAATGGAGTATCGGATGCGTTTCGTTCGCGACACCGAGTATGTACAATTCAGTAGCAACGACACGAAAAAGATCCTTATCGTGTTACATAAGGAATGAGGACTCTTTTAAAAACAAAGAACGAAGAGACAGAGAGAAAAGAAAGGGAGAAAAAAAGGGAGAAGGAGAAAAACAGGAACGTCGTGCGCTCGATGAGACTCTCTACGGGGTTTACTTTGCGGTGCATCCCGCGGCGATGCAGCTCACATGCCGCGAATATAAGCGTGAGCGAAGGATACAGATATATACGACAGATTGAGGGGGTGGATACTCAACGACGGCGAATGTAGACCACGAATTGCGGTTCGAAAAGTAACTTTACGTGGACGCGCAGCTTATGAATTAGAGCTAAATAAAAGCAGCTCTTGCAGCTCTTCTCGCTTGGATCACGAGGCGGAAATCGGATTAGCCTTTCGGGATAATACAGCCAAGGGTATTATCGATCGCGGTTTCGTCGAGAGATGAAGCGGAGTTCGAGAGGCGCGGATTTCGTGGGCGATTTAATTAAAAATTTGGATATGCAAATTAAGCCAAAAATCGAACATGATATATTGTGAGAGGAGGAATATTATGCTAAAAGGAAATCATCGTTATTTATATGAAATCGAATTAAAAACTAGATTATATAACATTATTGAATCGCGAAATGCAATAATTATTTCAATATAATTTTTTTTATTTAAAAGCATTGTGAAGTTGCAATTATCATTATTTATATCCCCGATAGGCAAATAATGAAAACATTGGACAAATGGCATTATAAACTGACAATTTTTACAATAATTGCTATAACAACAGTTTTCTCAGAATAATATTTCAAAATTATATTTGTCAAATATTAGATGATCCAATTTGAGATGTAAATACTTTTTGATTTATTTTCTTTCAAGAATATAATAAATGTAAGAATATAATAAATGTAACGCTGGCAGCATATCGAAGAAACAAATCAGGACAAGTTATTCTCAAATGCTCGATGAACACTTCCTAAAAATCGATTCACGTGCATGCATCCCAAAAGGTGTTTAACTTTAAAATTTTAAATTTAGCGCTATTGAATGTATAATACTTCATATTGTAATATTTCTATATTATAATTTAGGAATAATTGTGCATTTTTACAAGCGCAATTATATTTTTAAAATATTTTTCTCAATTATTGGAAAATTTCTTTACAAATTTAATTTGACAAATATGCCCCACTAAAATAAAATTGAATTAAAATAATTATGAAACATTATCAAATCGCGGGATGCAAAGAACGTAAAAGGAAATTATTTTAAATTAAAAATTTAGAATCATAGAATGTTTGTTACTACATCAGGAATGTCAAATGTCAAAATCTATTTTGATATGAAAATTTTATGAGTATAAAACCGATATTAATTATTTTAATACTTTTTTTTAATTTAAAGGCATTTCTTTCTTTTATTATTTTGATATCAGTTTCCAAGAGCTTTAAAAGAAGTCGCAATATTCTTGCGCGAAATCTCGAGTCTATTTCTCGAAATTTCTAGAATTACGTGAAAATACCCAATTACGCGTGCGTAGATCCTTAAACCGCAAAGGCACGCAATTGGATTGAATTTCGCGTTGGAATAGGGAAGCTAGCAAAATACGGATCGTTCTCTCTCCTTTTGTTCTGCCACTGCTAGTCCAATTGTAGTATCGAAACCACATGGGTAACAATGTAGGGCAATCTCTCTTTCCCTCCGTCTCTCTCTTTCTTTTTTTTTTGCTTCTCACGCGATGGCTCGACGATTTTGCTACCACGTGGTAGTGCACGGGCATTTGTTGGGGCAATTTATTTCAGCATAAAGAAGATTTGCAACCCGGCAGCCTGATCACGGAAGAATCACCCGCCGCAGTCATGGGATCGTTATCCTCGTATACGGGAACGCGCGAGAAGGAGAGGGTGGTCCTCGCAGTATAATCGGAAGTGATGGGAACGCTATGGTGAATCGTGGGAATCACGGCAACTTGGCAAATTGAATTAGAAAGTTCTCCGCACTCTCGGCCGTGGAGTGTCTCGTTTGTCTCCGCGGCGGCAGTCGCAATATCGAATTAGGCGCGCGAAGATCCCATGTGTACGACTGTGATATATATTTTCGAGTCGCGAAGTTGGTGAGGGATAGACGTAGGTCCTATCGGGAGATTCCATGTACAGGAAAAAGTGCATGGAATCTCAGATCATTACGGCCCGTTTCCACATTCCACATATAATTACCTAAAAATTAAAAATTATCAAGAAATTCATGAATAAATTTTACTGATGAATCTCTTGGTAATCTTTAATCTTTAAGCAGCTGGTATCTAAATGAAATTATCTCAAGAATTAAAATTATCTAGATGAATGGCTTTACTATATTATCTTTATCTATATTTTACAAGAGAAGTTTCACAACTGTCCGTATAATAAAAAAATACGTGTCTCTTAGATTTTTGTGTTTAACAACATATTTCATGAAGAATCAAATTCCGAACAGTTGTGAAACTTCCCTTGTTAAATGGAAAAGTGTTATCTTTTTTCCAAGTTATCTAGATAATTATCTTTTTTCAAATTATCTAAGATGAAAATCTAATTAAAAGGTATCTAATTAGATCTATTTACAAAATAGTAACAACACAAATAGCGTCAATTTTTATGCAAAAATTAGAGTTTTATATTGATTATCATTTTGTAATAACGTTTTTTTAATATTAATTTTATGTTTGATTGTAAAGCAATATCCTAAAAAAATTAGACAAAAAAATGGTTTCCAAGGATGCAGATAACACTTATATATTTAATAAATTTTATCTAATTATGTAGGAAATAACACCTAAACGGAGAATTGTCTATTTATTTCTTTATCTGAAATAAATTCGCGATTTTCATCTTTAATTTAATCATAAAAATCTCTCCCCTCTTAAGGCTCCTGACTATTCACCACGAACATTTAGATTGATGACGTCAGAAGCGAGAAAATACAGGATTTACATGAAAAATCTCCTGGATTTTAATATTAAATTTAGGTTTTAATATTAATATTAAAAATCCCTTGGAAACGTATCAAGGACATAGTTTTCCACTAAGGTACTAAACATGAATGTCTTATGCTACCGAATTTTGGCCGCCACAACTAACGACAAGCGGTTGCCGTAAAATGGAATACCGGCTCGATATTCATCATGCCACTAAAAGCACTCGTGTGGGAATTTGATAACATGATGTGTTTGGTAATTTTTTGCAAGAAATTTTTTTAGTTATTCTTTACAATAAGAAAGTTAAAAATATGATTATGTGTTTGTTTTTACTTCTCACATCACTTTAAAATACCGGAAGTTATCATACACCTTGTATGACGAAAATTCTTGCAAAATACACAATGGAGTAGAAATATTTTTGAATAAAACAATATGTGCACTTGATAGAATACTCTTGTAAAATATACCTCTTCTTTTATTTCAGAATAAAATAAAATCATATTTATTTCAATTCAATAACTATTATATAGCTTGTTATTTGGTTAGACACTATTCAATTTCAAATATATTCGGTATTTTATTGAGATTGATTACCGGAATACAAGGAGAGTTCTCGGCATAGCTTGTAAATCTATTCTATCGATTGCAAATATTATTTTATTAAAAGTATTTACATTTTAATATAATTTGCACAAATTTTCTTTTCTATTTTCTCGCTTCTGACGTCACAATCCAAGATGTAATGAGTAGGCAAGAATCTTAAGAATCTTATTATCGATTATTAAAATTTAATAATCGGACGATTTAATAACCGGATCTAGTAACGAATAAAACAAATTAATTACCAATCTAGAGATACAGGGTCGCTAATGCCGGATGTATCTAAACTTTGAGGACTCATAATTTAAAAAATTCTTATCGAAAAATTTTGTAACCAGTGTTTTAAAAACATCCCGACATTGACTACAAGAATATGCTGCAATAAAAATGGAGGTTTATATTTAAGAAATTTTAAGTGATCTTGATCTAACTTTGAAGACATCTTAAGATCAGCCATTTCACCATTTTTCGCTTCTAGTAACTTTTGTCAGAAACATTTTTGTCTTAAACTCAGAAATTTTGAGATATTCTAATGAGTTGATTAAAGTAGACTTCCTTGTATCTCTGGATTTAGCTGTTAAGTTTACTTACAAAGCGGCAAGGGTATATTTTAAATTATAAGAAAAATTTTATTAAATGAAAAACTTACAATTCGATGTATGATCGCAAATTAGATCGTTGTTGTTAGATCGTTGAAAAAAAAATCTGGAATTATAGAATATCACCGTAAAGCAAAGGAAAAATCTTATCAAGACATCTAAGACAACAAGTAACAAATTATTATAGTCGGTAATTTTTTCTAATTAACTCGTTGCTTCATCCTAAGTCAATCATTCTGTACAGAGTATATGCATTCTGTATACGCGTCGAATGTGCTGCGAACGTTTCAACCAGCTTGTAGCTCTCTCCCAGATTGCGCGCTTCGCTCTCAGACAACATTAGCAGGCTGATTACAATCGTCCGATTAGCCGACACGCTCGTTACCTTACTGCTTTAATCCGATTGCACCGAGAGTATGGAGTGCGTTCTATCGTTCTCCAATGAAGTGCGCGATCAGGTAACGTATAACATACGTGGGTCAAACGCTGGTTCCACATCCCCGATCTTGTATATCGTACACACACCTTGGCACACCGTGTATACTCTGCTAATTACGACATCCCGATTATATGGCTTATGAATTTACGTCCGGCCTGCACATGATGGCCGCCGTCGGGTTGCTTCGGGGTAGTGAAGGAGGTAACCCCGGGGTTTAACACGTGAACTTCTGCAGAGCGGCGGTCTGGTTAGTCGGCCGGTCCGATTGATAGTCAATGAATAAAGTTCCGCTAGCAAAGCGACCGGGATTTCGCGTGTCCGCAGGGGACTCGTGATTTTCTCCTGGTACGTGTCCAGAAGAGGGGTAGACCTCGGCAAGTTTCGTCTCCAGGCTGTCCACGAGTGACGATAATGAGCCAATCAACCTTAAAGCCATGGACCTCCCATTCGATTAATCTCAACACTTACTACAGGATCTTCGTTGACCTCGGAAATTAGAATTTTGATGAAACACGGAACGCGTACGCACTATACCCGATTGGGATCCTGTTCACGATCGAGTAACTCCCTTCGCGAGTTCCTATCGCAATGGGGATTATTGTCAGGTTACGTTAACTTGCTCTGCGGCATAACGAAAACCATAATTCGCAAATCGACTCGAATACCCCCGTTGCTTCTATTGCTTGCCATTGCTATGTCTTTTTCTCTGAATGTTGATACTTCAGCAAAATTCTAAAAAAACTTAAAAAGCTTTGAAAATTGAAATTTTCTTCTCTGAATTTTCTTGAAGCTCGCAAAATAAAATTTAAATTCTTAAATTTTACGCTGTCTTCTCTCAAGAATCTCTCTTTAATTGGACTTACAATTGAATGAATCGCATTTTCCAAAAATCGAGTTAGTCCGAGTCGAAATTTTAGTCCTACTTTGAATCTCTTTCAACCTCAATTAAACCTGATTTGATATTTAAACAATCAAATAGGACTTTTTTTAATATTATTTAATCTATAGCTTCTATTTAGAAAATTTCTTTTGAACCTAAAAATAGGAAATTTTCCAATAACTACCATTTACAGGCTCAATGTAGGAGCTCAATTCATTAGATTAGAACCTATTATAAATCTTTAGAGTCTACATACGTCTAAAACTAAGATTCAAAGTAAAAGCAAAATTTCACCTTCTCGACAGCCGTCTGTCAGAGAGCACCATTTTCTCAACAGTTTCTGATTTGATACCGATTTTAATCGAACCCCGTGCATTCGCGCACATACAATACAAACCCGTGCGTACACACAACGCACACACCTCGGCTCCCGTTTCATTCGGAGTTAACGAAGTTTCCCTGGAAACAACGGGCCGTAACGCCGGCATCTATTCGGTCGATCAGTTTTTGCTAAGCTCACACTCGCCTGTGCATCAAGGCCGAATATACACGGTGGCGCGCGGTAACTCATACATTATCCCGGATGACAGAGGGAACCCCCGGCTTTTTATTGCTCGCGCCATGCCACCGCGCTGGTTTGCTTTCACTTTATCGTCCGTGAAATCCAGCCGTCCGCTCTGCCGGCGAACAATATTTCCAGACTCCAGAATACCTCTGGGAAAGAGGGACGTGCAAAATTCAGCGCGACGCCCCGCCCGAGTTGACTCTGTAATCGGACACCGCGAACGTTCCATGGGGGATAAAAAAATACCGCGACACCGACGTTTCTAGCGAAAATTGAGATTTATCCGCGTGCTTTCGATAGTAACAGTACAATAACGCGAGATTCTCAAACGTCTCATTATTAAAAAATCAGGCAATCTCTTAACTTGGAGAAACTATACTTGAGTTGTCCAGACAAAGAGAAACGATTCTAAAAGATTTGAAACGATTTTCTTTATTTATTAAAGGATTTTTTAAAAGATTGAAAATTAAATTTGCTTCTTTGCATTCTTCTGAAGCTAGCAAATTAAAATGTTTGTTCTTAAATAGTTTGAATCTTTTAATACGACGAGATCTCTTTTCATTTCTTAAAGAGGATTTAATTATATAAAGACAACATTAAAAATATAGAATTAGAGTCGTTAGAAAATCATTTTTTCTTAATCATTAATACTAATTTGGTACTCTGACTTCTTTTGAAGTTTGTGAATTAAAATTTTTGTTCTTAAATCCTAGTTTAAATCTTCCAATGCAACGCAATTTTTCTTCAGTTTTTTGAGAAAGACTTAATTGTGTAAAAACGAAAGACTAGAATTTTCTTAAAGTCGAATTAAAATACTTGTTCTTAAATCCCAGTTTGAATCTTTCAACACGATTTTTCTTGAGTTCTTATTATAGAAGTATCAAGCGATTATTATATATATATATATATACCGATCGTTTCTATTTTTTAGATTAATATATTATATTTCTTATATGAAAGACAGAATTTAAAAATTTTTGGATTTTTTTCATAAATTATATCCTTTACAATGATAAAATATTTGATTTTTCACTTTCCTTATTTTCATAAGAATTTATTTGCTTGGTTTGCCTTAATTTCTTCTGTATTCCTGGAAACCCTAATCTAACACAAATCTATTTCTAATAATTTGGAACTAAAATTAGGTTTGAATTAGGTTAAGTTATAAATTGTTTACACTGAGAGAAAAGTATTTTTAACAATTGTAACGTATAAAGTACATGTTATTATAATAATTATGATTGTTACTGCTGTAACGTTAGAAATAGTAACTATATATATAGTTCTATCAACAAATATACGTATATGTATACAGTTGGCAACCGAAAATATGACTATATTTGTAGTTATTATCATAAAAATGGTTGTTATAATTTATAGTTATTTTTTGGAACAACCATTCGTTTTCGATTGTTAACTATTTATTGATAAAGCTATACGTATAGTTATTTTTACTGATATTATAGTAATAACAATCATAATTATAGTAATATGTAATTATAGTTAAAAATACCAAATTTTTCTCTCACTATAGGATGTAGGAGGAAAGGTAAAGTCTCTCCCTCGCCCAAGCATTTAAATATGCAAATATGTATAATAAATATAATATTCATATTAATTATAAGTAAAGTTCAATTTGTAACATTAAACACATTTCGTATGATTTATTGCACCTGTTAGTGACTTTTTAATAAATAACGAGTGATGGATATAATCTTTTGGTTATTCAGGATGATAACATTGATCACATAATACAGCGCTTCGTAAAAACTTCGAATATCAGCGTAAATTTTATCGTATGGTCATGTAAAAAATTAGAACATTATAAAATAACAATTGTGTTATTCTTTTATATATTTTAGGATAGTTATAAACATACCAACACTATATTGCTTTATAAATTATTTTTAATTTTACATGCCAAAATATATTGTTTTTATTTCATAGAACATTGATAGTGTAATTGATAAATTCCAAAAATTCGCTTTTGGCATATAAAATTAAAAATTATTTGTAAAGCTTTTATCAGCTTATCCCCTCCTATGGAGATAGGCAACATACACTTATAGGTATAGCTAACATAAATCAATATCTGTGTTCTCTGAGCGAATTCTTGATTATACTATCAATGTTCTACGGAATACATTTTGGCATATAAAATTAAAAATAATTTAGAAATCTTTTGCAATTGGTGTGTCAATATGTATATAATACCCCAAAATATACCGCATAAAAGAATAACAAAATTGCTGTTTTATGTCCTAATTTTTTACATCACCATTTGATAGACTTTATGCGGGTGAACTTCTATGAGTATAACAAGGCCAAGATTACCGAAATTGAATTCCTAATATTTATTTAAGTTTGTTTTTTATCTAAATTTATTTAAATTGTATTTGTTGGTATTTATTTAAATTTCTTTGGCCATAAGTTCTAATACCTTCTGACGTTTCGCAGGGAGCCTGGAAATCAGTCCTCATGCCAACACAACTCGGCGAATCGTCGTCGTGCTCAGCCCCGCTTCCCTGGACAACATCTGGACGGACGCGAGCGTCGGCGCGGTGTTGAAGCAACTGTCGTCGCTTCCAACCCGGGTGATCGTCGTCACGTTGAAGAGACTACCGAGTACAACAGCGACAATCGCGAAGCGATCGCGACGGGATCGTCGCGACGCCGACAATACCTCTTTCGATCGGCTGACGATCCTGTCTTGGCAGGACGGCGGTGGCGGTAGTAGTGGCGGCAATGGTACCGCCTTCGGCAGTGGTGGTCGCAAGTTCTGGTACAAACTGAGGCTCGCGATGCCGGCGATGCGACCGATGGCGTCCGAGACCGGCTGCCAGTCGGTAGCAATGATAGTGCAGGCCAACGGCAAGTGCGGACAGCAAAAGGCACGTTCGCGCGAGAGTCTGGAAGTTCTCGTCTAAAGGCACCGTCACGGTGCTCATCCTCTATCCGAGGTTCCCGTGAGAGCAGTGTCTCGACCGATTTCTACACCAATTCAATTGCCAATCTTCGAATCCCGAGGCGAGGGTCTCGATGTCCCGTAATCGCGTCCGCGCGATCCTGCGAACCCCGAGGATCCCGCGAGAGAAAGCTTTCGCTTTTGATTTGATATCGACCCGGCGAAAGAATTGCGAGGCGATTTCGACTTCGACGACTGGAACGACTTCGGCGAAGCCTCAAAAGTCTCAGGATCTCCCTTCCGTCTCGAGAATCTTGCGAGAGGAATCTTTCATTCGTGATATCGATTTTCGAAGAAGGCCGCGAGGCGACGTCAATCCTGACGATTCTAATTTCACGAAAAGGCCTCGAGGCCTCTATTTACTCTTGCGAATCGAGAATCCCGCTACGAGAAGTACGATCGTCTTTGATAAGAGGCAAAAAATCGCGGCTTTTTTTCGAGCATTTTGATCGCGAAGTTCGAAGCGAAACTCAAGATTGAAAAGAATAATTTTGCTGAAGTATCTAAAAACGACCCCGCACAGAAAAAGTAGCTTCGGTCGAATTGGCTGGAACTGTGATATTTCATAGATTACGAGATGCTGATTGAAGTTTTCTTAGGCAAAATCATAAAAAATGACCAGATTTGTTTACGGCATCATTTGAAAGTTGCTATTTCGGGTCTAATCGGATTGAATCAGGAGACGCGGTAGTGTCTCCGGCCATATTCAACTATCCTAACTACTTTAGGATTAATATTTTTATCTACTATGATGTTGCTGCTCCAGCTTTGGTTCAGGGCTGTGTTTCAAGATTGATAAATTTATCAGTGCATAGTTAACTTGAACTGGAAATTGTATAAATTCACAAGAAATATTATTAGACAGAAAACCGCCTCAACCGAATATGGTATTTTTCACTCGCATGTGTTTAATCTTCTATCGATCCATTTTCATTTAATATCTTTATTTACTATTTATTTTTTAGTGTCTTGATACTTTTATCACTTTATGAATCAATTGATGTAAAGAAAACAGTTGTTTTTAAACAAATTTGCAAATATATTACATAATTGCATAATTTTTTTTTAAAGCAACTGTGTGTTTTCTTTACATTCATCTCGTTATTGTATAAAAATATTAAATTATTAAAATGAATAGTTTAGCAGATAAAGATATTTTTTAGTCCAGTTAGACTCAAAATGGAACTTTTAATTGATGTCACAATCCAGATCTGTCCATTTTTTATGATTTTATCTGAGCAAACACTTAATCAGCTTTTAATCCACGAAAAAAAAATCACAGTTTTAGTCAATTTAAAGCCACTTTTCCGTATAATTTGTGCAGGATTTTTTAGTTATAAATACAGATCTAAAAATAAAAATATTAGGCTATCAAAATAATTACGTAGGAATCTCAAGCATGATGAGCAATACAAAAAGTTTTGACATTTTAGTCAGTATGAGCGTCTTGCTTATGCAATTATTTTATGGTCTAACGAAATATTTTCAGATTTTGTAGTTAGTTAAATTTCTAAATACTCCAGCAAAACGTCTTTTCCATAAAAGCGCAGTCGGTCTTCTTCGATTTGGGTAAAATTCCAATTATAAGAAACACGAAGGAGGCGCGTCGCGACTTTGTGACGTTATCACAATCGATTTTCTCGCGAATCGCGTCGAGATTGGAAAGCAAATTCGATTTAACATCGCGACGTCGCGACACGGGGAAGAAGCTGTGGCGCGCGGCACCACAAAATAGAATCAAACAGTCCCGAGATCTTTCTAGATCCTCCCTCGGAAGTTTGATTCTCTCTGAGTTTTCAGCTCAAAATTATGAACTCTTCAATTCGATCGTTGCTTGAAGAAGCTCGATTTTGAATTAGGAAAAAAAATTTTGTTAAAATCACGAGAATCTCTTTTATCGAAATACGCGATTTTTCGCGACAAGTCTGTTCGATTGCCTCTCGAACATCCTGCAGTCGGCAGACTATATGAAATGCAATTACGTAAGGGGGGCCGTCTAAACGGGGATTGCAAGGTGCAACTGCTTTCAACTGCATCGACGTGACAGTGCGAATCAGCGGCGTGAAGCGTGAATTGCTGCTCGTGATAAGTTCGCGGCTCGTGATAAGTTCGATGGAAACGTTAAAGGCGTAGGGACCTTTGTACAACCTTTTTTATCGTCGAAGCGGTGAATTTTTAAGATGTGAGAAATGGAAAATATATTCCGGTGACAGAAGCGGTACAGAGGCAGAAGAGACGAAGGATCTTTTGGTGAATGTGCCGATCGGCGAAAATGAGTTTGATTCTTTGTGAACGCAAATGCATTTCTAAGTAATGATTAAAAGTTTTAGTTTTATAATACTTGTAATATTTATTTTAAAATAAAAAGAATGATTTCCTTTCATTGGTCGATGCATTGCGTAGAAGGACTTTAAGGATATAAAAAAAACGACTGAAAGGATATATAATAGGAGATTTTTTAATCTTTGTATATATTCGGATTTTTTGTATCTTAAAATCTTGAACTCGAACTTTAAATCTTTAATGCCCGTTTTTACCAATGTAGTTTAACTTTAATCTTGATTCAACTAATTCTTCATTTTTTTCTAACTCTGAGAATTAGAAAAAGATGAAGAGTAAGTTGAATCGAGATGAGTTAAATTACGTTGGTAGAAACAGGCATAAGTCTCTTAGAGAGAATTTTATGTTCTGTTGAATTCTTAGGTTCTTTGAGTTAGAAATTCTTATTTTTCTTACGCGAGAAATGAGACATCATCAGCACGCCTCCGTGAGATTTTAAATGAATATGTTAAGGTTTTTGAAAATCAAAAAGATAAGGATCCTTGCACAACTCTATAACTCGCCTATTTTTAATTAACTGTATGAAGAATATGTAGCGATCTTGAATTCCTGGATTCTTTAAATCTTACATTTATCTTAAAGCTTTGGATTTAAAGATCATTGAGTTTAAAGATAACTCATTTAAAAAAACATTAAGTTAAATAAAAATTAAGTTTTGTGAAAAAGTTTAATAAAACTTAAATTTAGATAAATTTTTGAAAACTTAAATTTTGCAATAAACACCATAAAGTGTGTCTTCATATAAAATTTCAGTTATTTGTTACGAATAATGCAAGTGAGATATAACTGTCTCGCAAAAGGATCCGTTTTAACTTTATTTTTCTTTAGTAATACTTCATCCTATTTTTACATTTTTATTCTTATTTTTACGGTTTTTGTTTTCAATAGTTTCTTACTGAATTCTTATAGTATTTGATAGAAATTCACATATACATATTTGGCGTAAAATCTATATATTTTCGTTATGTAGACTGTTATAGAAAAGTTTCAACAATTAGCATCGAAATTAATATAAAAAAAGCCAGACGGAGAATCTCCGATATTTGTATAAAAATATATAAAAGCTATTATATATGTAAAAAATTAAAACCAATTAAAAATTTAAAAATTCCAAATGTCTAGAAGAATTTTAGAATACGATTCTAATAATTTTTCATAAAATGTAAAATTTTTATGAATTTCTGAACCAGCGAGAGTGCGATATTACCGTAAACAATAGGATAGAGATTTAATTAAATTCCTCGCATTTAATTAACTGGATGAGGAGACCAAATTAAAAAAATATATCACTATGTACGTATCACGAAAATTTCTCCTGTACAAACAGTTTAAAATACTTCCGGCAGGGAACCTATTTGCTTTCCACAATCGACGATCGATTTCGTTATCCCAGCATTCCTACCGTTCCAAAGGACGGTAAAGAGCAGAGAGATGGAATTGCGCAGTCTTCCTTCTCGCGAGCGTGATAATAGGCTTCATTACCGGCGTTTCCGTTATCACTGGCGTTCCAATGTCCTTTCCTTTTTTAACGTGCTTATCGCCGCTGTTCTTTGTACATATGCATTGGGAATTTATATTTATTTAGCTAGTTACGTTATTTATATATGTACGTACCTTTGCGTAAGTTTTAGTAAGGCAATCCTTTAACCGGTAAAATAGCTCCTAAAATTCTGAAGGATCTAATTCGAAGAAAAATTCGAGGATCTAAAAGAATTCAAAACGCACACACCGTCTGAGTATTTAATACGTTGACTGTCATAATAATCCAGCGCTTAATTTTTCAATGGTAAAATTGAAATTTTTTTAAAATGCTTGTAAAAAATAAATATTATTCAAATTGAATTTATGAATGATATAAATTGTTAGATAATAACATAAAAAGTATACAAAATTATACTATCCATTGCAATGAAGTTTTATTTAATCATGTCACACAATGGATATTTTATTGTATTTTACAAATTTTATATTTTCAATTTTTTAACAATTTCTTTCGTATTTCTATTATTATCATATTTTTATATACTGTCTGGGCAGACAACGTGCTAAGTACCTCAATCAATATTCACCTACAAATCTCAAAGTCTAATTATTGAGACATATGCAGAGCATACATTGTTTCAATTAGTTATATATTTTATAATATATAATTTATATTTCGAGAACTGCAAAATACCGGTTAAAGGATTACGCAATCGCGGAATAGCGTCTTTCTGAAATTCGATCTTGTCCCGGGTGGTAACGGCGATCCTCCGTTAACGTTTGGCACAAGCAGGATGCAGTCTCGGTACGTTAATAAGCGTTTTATACTATTTTATATACGTGACGGACGCTCCTCGAGACTGTCCCGGACCTCCTCGGGCGCACAATCGGTGTCAGTAATCGTTGCTCGTCGCAATTCATCTCCTGGCAGCGAGACGGGGACGACTCGCGGTTTTCCTTCGAATCCTCCGGAAACTCTATGTTTCTCGGATCCTATTTACATAAAATTGTAAGGTCGGAGGCTTCTTCGTAAAACGGATGCGGATTTATGAGTCGAGATCCTAAATTCATAAGCTTGATTTTAATTACCGGGATTTCGAGTTTACTTACGAACGCGAGCTCGTGAATTTGATCGACCTGTTCTATCTCTCATATCGCATCTCTATTTCTCATATCGCATCTCGTTTACCAGAGTTTGTCCTATTCTCATCTAATGTATAATTTACAGTTCCTGGCCGTATTATTAGACGCAGAGACTTTTTAGTACAATAGATTCATTTTAACTGATCGAAAATGACAATTCTTTTTATTTTTATATATTTATGATAGGATTTTCTCTTTTGTTTATATATCCTTAATTAATAAAAACATAGTTTTAACAGTATTCATCAAATGAAAAGATATATGTTTTTAAGATATGTTTTTATTTTATTAAGCTACCATTGAGGCCTCTTAATGTTTTGATTCTAACAATTTTAATTACAGTTTACTATGAATAAAGTAAAATATAATAGAAACAGAACACACATGTACTTTTCTTGCTGTCGCTTCTAACAGGTTTGTGTTTTTTCATGGACATTGTGATGAGTGAATTAAAACAAATACAATCATTTTCTAGACAATTATTTTCTTTACTTCAACCCATCACAACACATACAAAATAGATGGATTAAAATATATATTAAATCCTTAGAAATAAATAAATTGTAAAAAATATGATGCGTCTAATATAATATGGCTAGAATTTGTAACTATTTGTTTATCTATTATTATGTAAGTATGTTTCGCGAAGAGGAAAGGTAAAGCTCGTTATCTCCATTTGGAGATTTCTGTCCTCCAAGGGACAACGCGGAACCATAATTTATTTATCCT